ATGAAAATTGGCAAAAAAAAAAAAAAAATTGATTTTGACCCAAAGCTAATCTGGGGTTTCTGGGTCTATGAATCTTTATAAAAGGAAACTGTCCATCTTTGTCCTGTAGAGCAGCTTGTGGATTTGAACTGTAGGCTTTCCTGTTAGCAGCTCAACATTAAATGTGCTACACTACCATGGCTCACCTTAGAGGTTGTCCATTGTTTGGCTGAAAAGCTGTGTTGATAATCAAATGATGGCTGAGGGCCACCAATTTCTATCAGACCAATAAGCTTGACCATTTTTATTATTTTTAATATTGTTACACATTTCTGTCTCATTTCTTTTCAGGGTGATTGGCAGTGGTAGCCAGATACTACTAGTTCTTCTGATCTCTGGGTAGTAGAGGTTGAGGTTCTTGAGGTTATTAGTACTATAGACTAACTGGCTTTAAATGAAGAAGTTCTGAAGAATAGGTATACTTATAAGGAACAAGGTCCAACTTAATATGCAAGAAAAAGTATACTTTTGCATTCTTCATTCAAGTCTTCATTTGTAATCACCATTTTATTTTGACATATATCTGGTAAAATGAGAGTTAACTAATTCTTTACAGACTTTTATGTCATAGTAGACTATCTAGCACTTAATAGATGTGCAATTGACTTATTTTGTTAGAGAACCATTTAATGAATATTTATATATAAATGCTATGTTATTTATATGTTTATAATATTTTATATTTATATCTATATAAATATTATCTCATATATATATGTACACACAAACATACATGCACACACACCCTTGCAGCCACCACCCAACCTGACAATAAAGAACATTTACATTACTCTAGAAGGTTCCTTAATACATTTTTATCTAGAAAATACTTTCCCATACCTAAGTTGACCACTATTTGGTCTCGTCTCACCACAAATTAATTTTATCTAATCCTGAATTGTATGCAAATAGAAACATGGAGTATAAATATTTTATATTTCTCTTAAGATTATCATAATAATTGTGAGATTAATACATGCTTGCTGCAATCACCAAAACCTATTTTTTATTACTGTGTAGTATTGCATTTTATAGGATTGTGCATATGACACTATGAGTCACAGCCAACTCAGTGGCACAAAGCAAGAAGTTTTGCTTTTTATGTATACTCCATAATTCTTTATTTTCATCTTACTGGACAGAGAAAAAAAATTCTTTTTTAACTGCAAAAGAAGCGTGGATAAAGTAAGAGCTAACCTAGTTTAAGATTACCATGATTTGATGACATCAGATGGAGAAACTATACATTTGAAAATATTCTTTATAGTGCAAACTTAGATCTTTCAGAAATGACCAATTCTTTTAAAACGTGTGACTTTAAAAATTTTCACTTAAATTCCTATTTAATATTTTTAACTATAGTCTGCCAAAATCTTGAACTCTTTGTAATGCTCAGTTTGCTCATATTCTTTTCCAAGACGGATATTTCTCTATTCTCGGGGAGTATAACTCAGGTTGGAAGTCCTGTTGGAAGTGCAATGAACCTTATTCCTGAAGATGGCCTTCCTCCCATTCTCATCTCTACTGGTGTAAAAGGAGGTATGTGGATTTACAAAATGAAATAAGGTTAGTTTTATATGCTACTGTTGCATTCTTAATTAAAGTCTAAAGACAAAATTTAAGTGATAACCATTCTTCTATCCAGCAACAACAACCAAAAAAATCCAACTACCCCAATCACCATAAGAACAGTTGTTCTGTTACTGATTGTTTTAGAATAGGTGTTATGTTTCTGTAGTGTGAAGAGATGATTATTGTTCTAGCATAGATTCACCCTGATAAAGTCAATACTTTAACTTTTTTAAAATTTTTTTAATTTATT